GTAGGGACAGGTTTCTCATCTGTCAGAGACAGTGCTTAGTGATAGGGAAAGGTTCCAGAGGAGTAAGGAGAACTCAGGGACCATGTATGTCTCTACAGGAAGCTTCCTCTTTGGGTCATTTTGCCCCTTGTGGCAGACAGTGATGGCATCTTTGTCAGCACTGGATGGGCAAGATTCCCCACCGGGTCTGTTGTACTTGCCAAACTGTAAGTATAATATATTGCTTTTGACAAATTCAGACTGTGTACTTGCAGCCCATCACACCACACTGCACCTATCCCACATACTAGATTATGTAATCAAATTGTAAAGTGCGGGGGCAGCCTGAAGGGTTGGTTCACCTTTACCAAAAAGCACACTAAGCTGTGTGTGCTACACCCAGTGGTCTATTTAGGATTTGTACTGCCATAAGCAACACAGAAATGCCCCCCCCCCACGCAGAAAGAGCCTGACATTGACCAACAACACCCCTGCCCCCCCCCCCCCAAGAGAGCCTTCCACTACCACTGCCCCCCCCCCATACACCAGCCACCATCTGCCATGGCGAGACAGAGAAAGACACTCGCCTTCACAGCTCTGGACATCCCTGGGAACAAGAGTGGGGCTGTGCATATACCGTCATGAAAGCCGCAGCCTCTCTTGGAACCCACCAGGTCCCCATGCCGCATGTGTCCCTTCTTCTGTCCCTTCTTCCGAGGGACAGTGCTGCCCCCCAATGAAAAATGCCACCCTAGGCCTTTTTTGCCTTGTGGTAAATACACCCCTGCTGAAAGGTAGGCTTATCACACTATGCTGCTATACCCATAAAGGGCAGCATAATTGGCTTTTTGGTAATTCTGGTGATCTAACCCTTTAAAGTGCCAAGAAACATGGCTGGAGAGGACCTATATATGTTTAAAATTAAAAAGAAAGATGCTACGCTCAGGTATATTCCCTTCAGAGATAGACTGTTGTCAGTGCTCTGGCTCTACATGTCCTCCCAACACGGTCACAGCTTGAGAATGTTGATTTGAACAGACAGCTACTTTTCTTCTTGAATATTCATCTTTATTAAAGCCAGTAAGGTATACAATTAAAATGACTTACGTGTTTTGGCAATACACCTTAATTCTACTCATAGTCATGGCTATGATTAAGGCTTTTTGCCGAAATGCATAAGCCATTTTAATTGTATTCCTTGCTCCCTTTAATATAGATGAATATTCAGGAATATGAGTACCCGGCTCTTCAAATCCACATTCTCATGTAAGCAAGACAGTGGAAGAGAACAGATTTAAGAAGGGAAAAGGGAGAAGAACATGGTGGATGAATGACATCCAGGAAATGACCAGCATTTGTTATATAAAGCATTAAACATTAACCTAGCAAAAGACAAAGCCAAATGGAAGGCAATGATGAAAGCAAGGTTCTAAGTTTATAGTTTACCAAAGACCGCAAGCAGTCATTGGTGATCTTTGTTTGCCAAGGAGCATTCACTCAAGAAAAATATTTCATTTTGATGATTTTTTTCTTTATTACATTGTTTTGTATATATAAGTAACTGAAGGAATATGAACAATACATGCAGTTGTCACATACTCGATCACTTCTGGGGTATGGTACATATCAATTTGATGCACACGTATTACCAGTGCCTCTGCCATCACTGCTCAGTCTTTGGTGAACTTCAAATATGGAACCTTGCTTCCACCATTGCTTTCTAATTGGCCTTGTCTTTGCCAGGTTAAACTTCTGCTTTATCTCATGGCTTCCATGTAATTTTCTGGATGTCGTCAATCTACCACGTTCTTTTTCTTCCTTTTCGTTCATTTACCTTGTTCTCTTCCAAAATCTTGTATAGCTCCTCTCTCATTTTTACAATGTGGCCAAAAAATGGCATTTTTACTAATACGTCTTCTAACAAACAAGGTTTACTTCATTGACTCTTTGCAGCACCTCTTCTTACGTGACCATGTCCATATAGCTAATTTTTAGCATCTTCATGTAGCACCACATATTTGTTACTTAAATGATTCCAATAGCACATCTAGAGATGCAATTGCAACACAGTGGATATAACAAAATCAATGGGAAAGAAAACAATAAAAGATTAAAAAACAATATACAAAATTGTGTCTTGGCTCATTTCACATGTGTTGCTTCAAAATGGTAATTTATTTCCAGTTCTTGTACCTCCAAGTAGTCAAGCTGTTCCTTTTACTGATATATTAAGGATGATGTCATATGGGGCGACTGCTGCTAGTGATCCTGTCTCTGGCAATTTGTCAAAATTGCCAGCGGGAGAATTGTTAGGAGGCTATCTGTCTGTCCCTAAAGATTTGCTGCCATAGGTTGCGATTGAGATTCAGTATTGTCTGGGCTGGTGAGACAGCAACATCTCGCTGCATCTGACTACAAAGGCAGCCATTCCATGGAGATAGAGAGGCAGTCTTGTAATGACCCTGCTTCTGGTGACTTGTGGCAGAGTTGACCATCTGATATCAACCTAAATAGTTTGAAAACATCTGTAAACCTTTTGCTATCATTTTAGGTCTGTGCATCGAGTATGTGTAGCATTACTCCCTTAGGAGTCACTGAGTTATTTTCAGGCTACCTATCCTTCTGGACCCCTCTCTGAATACCCAACCCCTGCTAACACCACAGTACTCTTCTGAACAAAGTAATTTATCACCAGAAAATAGACTCACACACAGATTGGAGTGAACTGATGTGATGTTTATATTAAATTTGACTGTAAGCTCGGTCAAACAGCATAAAGTGGTATATGTATCTGTAATGGCAATTATCACTCTTACCAACTCTAAGCAAAGAAATAACAAATACAGCAAAATATCAATCAGTGTTAGCAGGCCTGCTATTCAGAAGTTCACCCAAAACCTCCAACCTGAGGTGTTTCTAGTTCCCAGTGAGCAAGGACAAATATAAAAGTTTGAACTATATCACTTTAGACCCTCAGGAGCTTATGGAAAGGTTTAAATCTGTGATAGGAAAGAGCTATTTAACTAGGGTAGTTAACAGCCCTTTAAATGCTGTGAGGAATCTTCTGCGCGCTCATTGGGGCCCAGTTGGTGCGTCGCAATGATGGTGCTCCAATGGAATGGAATTTTATTGATCTGGCACATGAAATTCAGGATGTGGCCAGTACACCACTGCATTTCATTTTCCTATTTATGATAAATTCATACAACCATAAGTCAGTCCACTTTAGGGCTGCCACTTGGTCGATTAAGAAAGCATTTGTTATTAATAAGAAAAGGGGGCAATATTAAACTGCCCATAGATGGGTCATTTTTTTTCATCAGTCCCAGGGCTGATCGAAAAAAAAAAAAAAAAACAAGTGGATTCCCCCATCCACACATGAGAGGTGAATGGAGGAATCCTCCCTGCTGTCAGAATACACTCATCAGTGCTACAGTCCATTGGCTGCAACAGCAGATGGAATGAAAATTTTCCAACATTACTATTTGGCAGAAATCAATCATTAAAATGGCCATAGATGGATCAAAATGTGTCTGGTCTCTGCTGTGCCAGCTGAATTGACCTGTCTATGGGCAGTTTAAGACATACTTTCTAGCCCTAGTGATTCTTACAGTGACGCGTTTCGAAGGACATGCCTTCTTCCTCAGAGCTGGGCATGTCCCGTCGAACGCTTGTACTGAGTGCTTCCTCCATTGGATTCGTTGAATCTTGCCTCTAAATAGTCCCTTTGATCCTAGTTATTATTATTATTATTATTATTATACAGGGTTTATATAGCGCCAACAGTTTGCGCAGCTCTTTACAATGGGAGACAGTACAATTACAATACATTTGAGGATGGGGGTAACCAGTGCATGTTTGAGTGGGGAGGGAAAGGTGCCCATGGAGAGTGAGAGGTTGAAGATGTGGGTTAGAGAGTTTAGGATAGAGCAAGAAGGAGGCTGCAACAGTCGTGAGGGGACACGATCCAGGGGACAGGTGGTGAAGTGGGCCTTGGAAAGGAGTTCGGTAACTTCCTTGGTGGTAACAGGGTCGAAGGAGGAGAGTGTAGAGTTTGGCGTTGGGCCTGGTATGCTGGTTAGAGGAGGAAGCTTGACACTGGAGATCTCATCACGAATTGTGTCGATCTTCTTTTTGAACTGACTGGCAATCTCCTGTACAGTAAGTAAGTTGGTGGGTGGAGGCAGTGGGGGGTGGAATAAGGAATTAAGGGTAGAGAAGAGTTGACCCCGAGGATTGGATGAAAGGGTCTTCACAGGTTCACATCTCCGTGTTTTCAACTGGTGCGTTTTTTGGGACTTTTTAAAATGCAAAACATTGCGTTTCTAGTTCTCTAGACTTCAATGGAGCTGCAGAAAAGCAGTTTTGCGTTATTTGGGGTGCAAGCAGCAAGAAAGAAGAGATCTTCAGAAATCCATCCTATGGAACAGCTGATTAAAGGAGAAACGTGTTGTCTAGGTTACTGGCCCTGGCAACTGGCTTGCGTTCCAAGGCAGGATCCTCCCTTCCGCTTCCTCCGAGATTGCGGTGACGTCAGTTCCGGAACTTCACTCCCATGGTAAATTTCTTTCACCTTTTACCTTATTTTTTTGGGTATCCATATAACACATACTCACACGTCCAGCGAATCCAGCATTGTCCTGCCAATTCTGTCTCCGAATACCGGTTCCATCACCGCCATCTTCTTTGCATATGTCATCATGTGTCAGTCCGCTGGTCCCAAAACCTCCTGGGATACATGAAGTGTATATCTGAGGAGGATTTGGGTAGCAGGAGCTACGTCATTCTTTCCTAGGTGAGAAAGATGGAAGGCCTAGGGAAAAAAAATCAGAAATTGTCGGAGATTAGGGGGGAAGTAGCAGTATTTATTTACTCTCTTGCCATTCGCCCTATAGCAGAAGTATTGCTACAGGGCTGCACGGCTGTGCAAAATCACGTATAGATACATGATTTGCATTTCCGGGTAGGGGGCGAGTGCTGCGTCTCCTGGCTGGGGCTCGGTGATCGTCAGCAAAGTTGTCGGGAGAGACCTGTGTGTAAACAACACAGGTCTCTCTCCTGTCAGCATGGACATGCTGCTTTGTATCTCTTTGCACAGGGAGATACAAAGCAGCATGTCTCCCAAGTAAAACACACACAGCACACTGTTAACCTTTTGATTGCCCCAGCTGTTAACTCCTTCCTGCCCAGTGTCATTAGTACAGTGTCAGTGCTTTTTATTAGCACTGATACTATATTAGTCCTCATGCACACTGGACATTTTTACAGCGGCTGTTTATGGCTTTTGGCATTTTTTTTCTATAGAAGTAAACTCCCCAGCATGTTATCCTCTGTGTCCATGCAGTTTTTTTGGCAGGGGTGATTTTTGGCTAGAAAAAAAAACCCTAGAACTAGTTGGTTTCTAGAGGAATTTTTTAGCTGTGAAAACACTCTAATGCTGAAAAATCTGTAAAACGTGGCAAAATGAGGCAAATCAGCATTTTTGGCCATTTTTTTTTTAGGCAAAAAATTTTTTTGTGTATAAAAAACGCTAAAAAAAGCTAAATGCAGCGAAATGCTAATACAAAAATGCTAATGAAAAGGCTGAAGAACTTGCGTTTTTAACATGCGTTTTTTACATGACAGCATGACATGGAGCCTTAGTGTCACTGGGGATGTCAGTGGCAGTTAGTCAGTTCCCACCCAGTGTCAGAATGCCCACCGCAGTCCCGCTATATGTATTTGATTGCCGCCATTACTAGTATAAAAATATTTCAATAAAAGTTTCAATATATATATATATTTGTAGACGCTATAACTTTCGCGTAAAACCAAATAATATACGCTTACTGGGATATTTTTTTAGCAGAGACATGTCGCAGAATACATTTTGGCCTAAATTTATGAAGAAATTTGATTTTTAAAATGTTTTTATATTGGATATGCTTTATAGCAAAAATTCAAAAATATAGTTTTTTTTTTTTTCAAAATTGTAGGTCTTTTTTTGTTTATAGCGCAAAAAAATAAACACTGCAGAGGTGATCAAATACCACTGAAAGAAATGACCGCGCAATTGTCAGTTAAAGTAACACAGCGCCATATCATAAAAAAATGGCCTGGTCAGGAAGGGGGTAATTCCTCTGGAGTGCAAGTAGTTAAAGCAGAAAAAAAGAAGTGAAGGTCTGCTTTAACCACTTCCCGTCTGGCCCATGTATATAAAGAGCTGGACAGGAGCAGTGAAGGAGCGGGTTGCCGTTCATAAACGGCGCCCGCCATTTTAGCATATGCACGCTCCCTGGAAGTGCATGGCACCGCGATCCTCTGGACACAGTGGAACACAGATCGCTGTACGGGACCTCTGTGTGAGGTCCTGATCATGTGATCACTGATTGGCCAATCAGTGATCACATGAATAGAAGTAAGCAAGATGTCACTTGTGACATCATTGCTTACTACTGTGAAATCTGTGAATGATCTGAGAATGGTACAAGGCTATTCACAGAGCCTTGTACCATGTGACAAGCTGTGACCAATCACGGCTCACATAGTATTTTTAATGACTGCAAGAATGAAGCCAGGGAGAAAAAGAAATTATTGCTTTTACAGCGTTTATGGTGATACTGTACTGCTAGGGTGACAGTATGTTAAAATAAATAAATAAAAATAGAAATATAAAAATATTTTTGAAAAATTATAATTTTTGGTTATAAACTAATTTGGGTTATTTTTTTTTTTACTAAAAAGATAACTGAATACATTTTGGCCAAGATTTATAAAGAAAGATTATTTATTTGCAAAATGTTATAAGAAAACACTTTTTTTCAAAATTTTTGGACTTTTTCATTAATATAGTAAAAAAAAAAAAAAATCCCAGTGGTGAATAAATACCACCAAATAAAGTTTTATCTGTGTCCAAAAAATGCTAAAAAAAATATGGGTACAGTGTTGCACAACCGCGCAATTGTCATTCAAAGTGTGACAGCGCTGAAAGCTGAAAATTGGCCTGGACAGGAAGGGTGATAAAAGTGTCCGGACTGGAAGGGGGTGAAAGTGTCTGGACAGGAAGGGGGTGAAAGTGTCTGGACAGGAAGTGGATAGGAAAATAAGAGGAGCATTAAAAGGGACAATATAGTTTGCAGTCTTCACTTCCCAGAATCTGGCTGAAGCCCACAGCGCACTCTGCTGGTAACCATTATAATAACATAGACAACATCCAATGGACCGTACAGGTATTTCATGTAAGTGAAGCCTATTGGCATCCTAAATAGTTACATGAATACTAAGTTAGAGCAGGGATGTTCAGCGTCAGGTCTGGAGGGTTATGTATAGGCCAGGATTTTGTCCATTGATTTTCTAAATTAGTTCCAAGAAAAAATGGGAAAGAAAGATACCGATAAAGCAATATGAGTCAATTGTCTTTTCTGTTTTAGGTTTTTTTATGTCTATTAATATCTAATAAAAAAAATTACTTTATATAGTAATAAAAATATTTGTGGAGTATTTATCATCACCTCTGCCGCTCACCCATCAAATCATTTTCTTATTACTGTCTAAGTGACATAATGTAACAATATGTATTCATGAGTGGGCAGCACAGTGGCTAAATGGTTAGCACTTCCACCTGGCAGTACTAGGGTTGTTGGTTCAAATCCCAACCACGGCACCACCTTCTGGAGTTTGCATGTTCTCCCTGTGCCTGCGTGGGTTTCCTCCAGGTACTCCGGTTTTCTTCCACACTCCAAAGACATGCTGGTAGGTTAATTGGCTCCTGTCTAAATTGTCCCTAGTATGTGTATGTATAATGTGAGTTAGGGCCCTTAGATTGTACACCCCTTGAGGGTTAGGGACTGATGTGAATGTACAATATATACATAAAGCGCTGCGTAAATTGACAGCGCTATATAAGTACCTATAATAAATGAGAGACTGTGCATATTCTCACCCAAACATGTTTCTATTGTGGTCTATGCACAACAATGTAACAATATTTATTTATTTGTAACATTCAGCTTGTTATAGGGAGGCCGCACAAATTCTTGACATGTTTTGTGAACAAGTTCACTACTTCGGGAGAGAGGTGGGTATATTCTCAAAGCATCTAAAATCCAATATAAAGTATATTAGGAAATGGGGATCATCACCATTACTTGTAGATAACCCATGTGTGCCCTCTGGGTGATGGACCCCGGAAAAGTATCAGGAGAGGAAATTATTATTATTATTATACAGGATTTATATGGCGCCAACAGTTTGCGCAGCGCTTTAGAAAATGAAAGTAGACATTACAGTTACAATGCAATTTGGTACAAGAGGAAACAGAGGACCCTTCAGCTGGGTAATGGTGGGGCCCAATCAGGGGCGGACTGACCATTTGGAAACTCGGGCACTGCCCGAGGGCCCGGGGTCAGTAGGGGGCCCCATGAGATGCCCCTGGTACCTTTTCCATAGGCTTTTTGCAGTTTGGGCAAGGACACAGGGGCCCATGATCCCCTATTGTCCGGGGGCCCCATGAGTTGTCAGTCCGCCCCTGGTCCCAATGTGTATGGTGGTGTACCTTCTCTTAAAGGCTGCAAGCAGTGAACTACTTTTGGGCTGTTAGGCAAAAAATGTCAGTCTCCAGTTGTATTGGGTTACTAACAGTGGGTTCACAAGCACAGCTGATTCCACTCATCAGTTCAGGGTATACCAGTCATCAGGGTTATGATCCTTGGTGGCTTGTCCCCAGCACTCTAGTTCTCAAAGGCTCAATCTGAGTGGCTCAGTATTCAGCCTCTATACACACAGTACACAGCTCCAGCTCCCATGCACCAGCCCTCCATAGCTCTCTTTGGAGGAGTCACTGGCACCCAGTAACAGGTCTGCACCACTTCTTCCTGCAGAAGACCCAGCTTCTTCCCCAGAAGTGTAGGAAAATGCTGTTGCCCTCCTCCTACCACCCGATCGCTTTCACAGCCCCTCCGGTACCGGTTCCCCCTGCACTCTCCCAGGCAGGCCTGGGGAGTGCCATGGTGGGTGCTGGCAGGTGGAGAGGAGACCCTTCTTTCTGTGACCCAGAAGGCGATGTGTATGATGTCACTTCCGGGTCACAGCTGTCACTTTCCCCGGCTATAATAGCCAGGGATTCATGTATTGCAATGCGGTCTGCATTGCAATTACATCTAGTGGAAACCATAGGAGACATCCATGTCTCAATAAAGAGAACCTGTCACCTAAAAATCTTCACATAGGGGACTTTGTGTACCATATGTGATGAAAAAAAAATTAAGTAAAAATGTATTTATTTATTTATTTATTTTTATTGCAAAAAAATAAAGTAACACCCAAGCACATAACATCCCCCCCCCTCACCCCACATATACACATGTACAAATATAAACACACACATTGGGGCGCCTATGTGTGAAAACGTTGATTGCGATACGCACGTTACATATCACTGCGCACGCCGGAGCAAGAGCAGTAATTCTAGCACAAGACCTCAAAAAACTAAACTGATGACCTATAGGGGATTTTTGACATGTCACCTATTGAAAGTATAGGGTACTGAAGTTTGTCGCCATTTCATAAGCACAAACAAATTTAAGGTTTGACATGTTGGGTATCAATTTACTCGGCGTATCCTCTTCTTTTATATTTTGCCAAAAATTTAGGTAACTTGTTGCATTTTTTTGCCCTAAAATTTACTGTAGTGTGTTTTTTTACTGAAATTTTGCTTTTCCTAGACCTTTGCAGCAATATCTTGTGACATAAAAAATTGGAACTGCCATATTGTATTCTCTATAGGGTGTCTGCTTTCAGAAAATATATAATGTTTGGGGGGAAGGGGGGGGGGGTTGTGTAATCTTCAGGCCTGAAATAATTTTTTTCAACATGTGTGCAAATAATGCAAAAATGGCTCTAGCAGCAAAAGGTTTAAAGGAGGGCAGTTGGGGTGGGGGCAGTAAAAATGCAGCTCGTAAGTGCATTTTTACCACATTTTAAGTTGAATATTACAGTGACACAATTGTATTTCAGTACCAAAGGAAACTGTATGTAAATCTATTTGTTAATATTTATCCCAGTACAGCCCTTTAAAGTATACTAGGAGACTCAAACCATTATTACAACTGGCAAAATTTTAAATGTATAAATCATTTTTAAACACACACACACATATATATATATATATATATATATATATATATATATATATATATATATATATATAAAAATGAAATCAGAGAAGTTTTCTGCATTTATATTTTATGTGCTGAAGCAACAGAAACATGCACGTGCATAATGAGCCATTTGTGAGCTGCTAGATACTAGATGTGGCATTCATCATAGGTTGTATTTTGCTGCCATCTTGTGGTTAATTTTCAGAATGCAGTGGAATGAATTTAGTGTTCAGCCTAGCCCTTGAATACAAGGAGCAGACTTACTGTAGAAGACAAGAACAAGAATACCTTTGTTTATATGTTGCTCTAACAGCTTTCCTTACACTTCTTCTTTGGCAGGTGAGTGTTCAAGTAAATCATAGAAATCACGTAATCCCTAAGGGGTAAGGCTGAACTTTTATAAAAAAATTAAGACAGAATGTTCTGATATTTCAGCATCCTAGATTGTAAGCTCCAAGGATCCCTCTTGTATTGAACTGTATTGTTGCTGTATTGTCTCCTGCTATATTGTAAAGCGCTGAGCAAACTGTTGGCACTATGTAAATCCTGTATAATAACAATAATAATAATAGTCTCCTAGATTGTAAGCTCGAAAGAGCAGGGCCCTCGAACCCCTCGTGTATTGTATTGTTACTGTCTTGTCTCATGTTCTGTCCCCCTTGCTACTGTACAGCGCTTAGCATACCCTTTGGTTCTATATAAATACTGTATAATAATAATAATAATAATAATAATCTCATCATGGGCAGCACAGTGGCTAAATGGTTAGCACTTCCGCCTGGCAGTACTAGGGTCGTTGGTTCAAATCCCAACCATGGAACCACCTGCCTGGAGTTTGTATGTTCTCCCTGTGCCTGCGTGGGTTTCCTCCGGGTTCTCTGGTTTCCTTCCACACTCCAAAGACATGCTGGTAGGTTAATTGGCTCCTGTCTAAATTGGCCCTAGTATGTGTATGTATGAATGTAAGATAGGGACTTTAGATTGTACGCCACTTGAGGGTTAGGGACTGATGTGAATGTACAATATATATGTAAAGTGCTGTGCAGGGGTGGACTGACAACTCATGGGGCCCCTGGGCAATAGGGGATCATGTGGCCCCTGTGTCCTTGCCCAAACTCAAAAAAGCCTATGAAAAAGGTACCAGGGGCATCTCATGGGGCCCCCTACTGACCCCAGGCCCTCGAGTTTCCAAATGATCAGTCTGTCCCTGGCGCTGTGTAAATTGACAGCGCTATATAAGTACCTTAAATAAATAAAATCAAAGATTGGTTTTATTCAGGTAAACTGGGTGTACAATCTGTGCTTGGCACAGTTGCAATATACTATTATTATCACACTGATTCATTTTATCTGTTTCTCAAAGAGGTTTTACAGTGAGTTGTGATTTGCTATT